ACGTAGTACAGCGCACCGCGCAGGTCGTTAAAATGACAAAATTAATTCCCACGCACCTGGCACATCTTCCTGACCATGGATTCCAGCGTGAAAAACCGCCTCGTGTGAAAGATAGCGTGGGAAATCCCGCAGTGGTTTTTTTCACGCCGGAGGGATTTCACGCCCTGTGTGAAAGAGGCTTTAGTTTCTGCTCACTTGACTGCAATACGCCAGGGCTGGAAAAGTCCTATTTTTGTCTGAAATACCGTGGCTCTAATATCATATAATTTCAGTAGGTATGAAATCTCGCGGCTCGAATGTCATAAATTTTTGTTTGATTGAAAAATCGCGGTTTGCACTTCGCAAACATGGCACTTCATAAAATTTTCAACTTCCGCAATCGGCATTGCTTTACCATTCCTGCCAAAATATCCTGCAGAAAAACATAAACATCTTAACATAAACAAATCAACTAAACGTTTTGTTGAAGATCGCGTATAGTTGCGGTCATGTCAAAGCGGTCAGACTGCATCAACACGTGCTCAACTTACAGTAAAGACAAATTTTATCGTTGCCATTTGACTGTTTTAGGGTAAAATTAGAGATTTGGGGTAACACATGCCTATGCATGTGTTAAATGGCATGTGTTACTTTGTAAATAAATTTGTGCCTTGTAAATGGCTTTTTATGGCCTACATATGGAATTCATGGCTTAGTGAAATGGAATCACGGCTCAAAGAAATGGAATCACGGCTGGCAAATCCATACAACCACAGCTCAAAAAATTCAGTCGCGGCTTGCCAAGTAGATATATTCCATGCCTGCAATACGCTATGAAAAGAGGATCTATACGAGTTGTAAACGCACTTAACCTAACCTAACCTAATTCAGATAAGCATCAAAGGTCTGCAAGAAAAGCCTCCAGTTAGCCATGCAATAATGAAGGAGAGTTGGGGTAAGTGTGGGGGGAAGAAGATGCTAGGGGATAGTAAGGCAGGGAAACAGTGACGCAGGGTTAACGTCTTGCGGAGTAAGTAAGGTGATGACGCATTACTCATTACTGTTTGGTACAGTTCACATTTGCGGCAATGCAGTGTGGTCAGCGGACACTTAGGATAACAGCATGTGTAAGAAGTGATGGTATGGGTTATATAGCATTGGAGAACAATGTATTGACCGTTAACTATGTGGAGTAGAAGCTTGTGTGCTGAAGCAGTGTTGATTTAAAGTTCATGTGGTGAGATAGGTGATAGGTCAATTGACTACAGCTGTTTTGGTGACAGGATGACAATATCTATAGCATTTAGATGGTTGTTATTGGCTCCAGGGCTGATTTGAGGCTTTTTGAGCATTAATTTGCTGGTTTACGGCTGCGCACCCTGGCTGCCTGGCCGACGACGCTGGGCCTGTGGGCCATACAACGCCAGGCTTATTTTCCTGTGGGCTGATTTATCTAATTCAATGGATGTGATCTGTCTGGTGGCGTGCGGCTGATAACGTTACAGTCAAGATGTGTTGTAGGCTACGTTCTTCAGGGAAGGTAGGGTAAACGCGGTATATTCCGACACTTTAAGGACGCATCGAGAAATGAAAAACTATAGAAAAAAACCGTATGCGTTACATAAGTTCTGTTGCCTTCACATGACTCTCAAAACACTTCACTACGCGTCAGCAACGATGAAACGTCACAAAATGTTGCCATATTTATTAAAAAGCCTTTAGAATGGAAACCTACCAAATCCCTATATTCCGTCACTGT